TCTTTTTTACTACTGCATACATCAGTAACTCAGAGCATTTTCTCATGTCTTTTGGCCATCTGTATGTCCTTTTTCTCCAAATCCTCACCAGCACTTGTTTGTTGATTTGTTGATGATAGCCATTCTGAGGTGTGAGATAGTACCTCACTGTCATTTTGATTTGCATCCTCTGATGATCAGTGACTTTGAGCACGTTTTCATATGTCTCTTGGCCATCTGTATGTCCACTTTTGAGAAGTGTCTAGCCCATTTTTTTAAATTGGATTGTGTATCTTCCTTGTGTTAAGTTGTATGAGTTCCCTATAAATTTTGGAGATTAAACCCTTATTGGCAAATACACTGAGTGGCCAGATTATTATGATCTCTGAACGCATAATAATCTGGCCACTGAGTGTATATCCTATATAATAAAAGACTAATATGCAAATTGTCCCCTCAACCAGGAGTTTGACCAGCAGGCAGGCCGGCCAACTGCCCATGTCCCTTCCCCCTGGCCAGGCTGGCCGGCCCCTATCCATGCATGAATTCATGCACCAGGCCTCTAATAGATATAGATAGAGATAGAGATAGAGATAGAGATAGAGATAGATATAGATATAGATATAGATATAGATATAGATATAGATATAGATATAGATATATACATACATACACTGAGTGGCCAGATTATTATGCGTTCAGAGATCATAATACACTGGCCACTCAGTGTATGCTCTCCCATGCAGTGGGCTTTCTTGTTTTGTTGATGGTTTCTTTTGCTATGCAGAAGCTTTTTATTTTTATATAGTCCCATTTGCTTATTTTCTTTTTAGTTTCCATTGTCCTAGGAACTGTCTGGTTTTATTTTTTACATGTATCTGTACAATTTTCCAATCACCATTTACTGAAGAGACTGTCTTGACTCCATTGTATGCTCTTGTCTCCTTTGTCAAATATTGAGTGTAATGGTTTGGGTCGGTTTCTGGAGTCTTCTCTTTTCTGTTCACTGTTCTATATTCCTGTTCTTGTGCCAGTACTAGGCTGTTTGGATTACAGTGGCTTTGCAGTATAACTTGATATCTGGTATTGTAATTCCTCCAACTTTGTTCTTTTTTCTCAAGATTGCTGCAGCTGCCGGGACCAGGTTTGGCTCAATGGATAGAGCGTCGGCTTGGGGACTGAAGGGACCCGGGTTCGATTCCGGTCAAGGGCATGTATCTCGGTTTCGGGCATATCCCCAGTAGGGGGCGTGCAAGAGGCAGCTGATTGATGACTCTCTCTCATCGATGTTTCTAACTCTCTATCGCTCTCCCTTCCTCTCTGTACAAAATCAATAAAATATATTTAAAAAAAAAAAAAAAAGATTGCTGCAGCTATTCAGGGTGTTGTTGTTTTTTGTTGTTGTTGTTGTTTGTTTCTTGGGGGGGGTTCAAAAAAATTTTTTGGAATATTTGTTTTAAATCGGTGAAATATGCTGTTGGTATTTTAATAGGGATTGCATTGAATCTATAGATTGCCTTGCATAGTATGGACATGTTAATTATGTTAATTCAACCAATTCATGAGCAAAGTATAATATACTCTTCTACTTGTTTATATCTCCCTCTATCTCTTTTTTCAATGTCGTATAGTTTTCCAAGTACAAGTCTTTTACCTCCTTGGTTAAATTTATTCCTAAGTATCTTAATTTTTTTTTTGTTGCAATGATAAAAGGAATTGTTTTAGTTTCTCTTTCTGAGAATTCATTATTGGGGTATTAAAAAGCCATAGATTTTTGGGTGTTAATTGTGTATCTTGCTACGTTGCCAAATTCTTTAAGTCTAGTAGTTTTTTTATGGAGTCTGTAGGGTTTTCTATTACAATATCATGTCATTTGGGAATACTGAGTTTTACTTCCTCCTTTCCAATTTGGATTAATTTTATTTTTTCTTGTCTGATCACTATGGCTAGGCCTTCCAGTGCTATGTAGAACAGGAGTTGTGAAAGTGAACTCCCTGTCTTGCTCCTGTTCTGAGGGAAAATGGCTTTAGTTTTTGCCCATTCAGTGTAATGTTGGCTGTAGGTTTGTCATATGTGGCCTTTATCATGTTGAGATATATTTCCTCTATTCCCACTTTGCTGAGAGGTTTTATCAAAAATGGGTATTGGATTTTGTCAAATGCTTTTTCTGCTTCTTTTGATATGATCACATGACTTTTGTCTTTCCATTCATTTATGCGATGTATCATGTTTATTGATTTCTGGGTATTGCACCAGTCTTGCATCTCTGGAATAAATCCCACTGGTCTTGGTGAATAATCTTTTTAATGCAATGCTGGACACAATTTGTTAAATTGTGTTGAGGATTTTAGCATCTATGTTTATCAGGTATATTTGCCTTGTATTTTCTTATTGTGCAGTGTCTTTATCTGGTTTTAGAATTAGGATAATGCTGGCCTCATAAAAAGAGCTTAGAAGTATTCTTTCCTCTTGGGGTTTTTTGGAATAGTTTGAGGAGGACAGGTGTTTGTTCTTCTTTGAATGTTTGGTAAAACTCTCGTGTGAAGCCATCCAGACCGGGCTTTTATTGCTGAAAGTTTTTTGATTACTGCTTCTATTTCATCAGTTGTTACTGGCCTATTCAGATTTTCTGATTCTTCCTTATTGAGTTTTGGAAAATTGTATTTTTCTAGGAATTTTTCCATTTCATCCACATAATCCAGTTTGTTGGCATATATGGTTCAAAGTATTTTCTTACAATCCTTTGCGTTTCCGTGGTGTCAGCGGTTACTTCTCCACTTCCGTTTCTGATTTTGTTTATTTGTGTCCTCTCTCTCTGTTTCTTGATGAGTTTGGCTAATTGTTCATCAATCTTGTTTATCCTTTCAAAGAGTCAATTCTTGGTTTCATTGACTTTTTGTATTTTTTTTTTCAGTCTCTATCACTTAGACCATTTTTAATTGAACACCGGAGATACAGAATCCCCTCCTGTCACTTTCTTCCTTTTTTAAAGCACAATTTTATCTTTAGATGGTTCAATATTTAGACTTCATTTATTCGTCATTTACTCTGACCAGCAGGGCTGGTCCCTAGGAGAGAAGGGCCTCGGCCATAAATCCCCGTTTGCTTAAGAAGACAAATAGCTGGATAGCGAGTGACGGAAAAGACGTTCGTATGGTAGGACCGAGATGGCAACCACTCAGCCTCCGCCTGCTCTCTGGGGTCCCTTCCACCTGGCCTCCTTCCTAATGCTCAGCCATCTGCACAGGAGGCGAGCAGTACCCTCAGCATCGGGGTGGCTCCTTCTGGAAGGCACCATCAGGCCTGACGTCTCTGATGGGCTTTCTTTCCCTTTTGGTGCAATGGGACTTTACTTCCCTTTAACGCCCGGGAAACGTCCCTGAGTGCACAGAGAATATAATGACGGGAAAGAAATAATAAATAGTAAAAAATTTAAGTGAGTAAAACAGGTACTAGAAAGTGCAGAGTATTAGTACATTTTATCTCACGTATGTTTTACCATACACACGTTATCATATGTAGAGTTTGCCACATGCATAAAAGACACTTGGGTACACTGTAGGAGACAGACTGCCAGTGCGAGCCGGGCCGGCACGAGTGCACGTGGGAGCAGGCAGACACAGCCTGACGAGGGCACCAAAGAAAGGAAAGCACCGCACACACAGAGTCACACGTGAGAAGGGAGGGATTCTGCACGCCATGGCAGAGATGTTTCTTTAAAAAATGAAAGTAAAAAAGAAATGTCAAAATCATATGCACAGCCCTTGAACCACACGTCAAACAGTTCTTTCATTGACTCGTTTCCCATGGTCTACCAGAAACCCTCCCTTACAGACAGGAACAGCACCGGAGAGAAAAGTGTTCCAAACAAGAAAGTCAGGCAGCGGACGAACACGACCATCCAACTGGGCACCACAACCTAAGGCAGCGCACGGCCAGAGGCTGAGCCGCCTGACCGCGCGGACGCCCCTTACCTAAAGGAGTGGGAAAAGGCTTGCAATCTGCAAGAAGCCAGAGCCAGCAGTAAAAAAGAAAGCAAGTTCGGGTAAATCTAAAACAATTAAGTCACCCCTTCTCCAAAGTTAGGTTTGAGCTGGATTCTGAAACGCCACCCAGCCGAGTCAGCGCGACAGGAGCTGAGCGCGTGAGAGGGTCCGCCATCGTGAGCAAGTGTAGGACACTGCGCTCACCGCCTTACGCTCAGGACGGCGGAGAACAGACACAAAGAGCAAGCTCTTTGGTGTTCTGTGCACAAAGGCTAATACCCGGATTGCCAACGTTGTTCAGCCAAGAAAATTCTGGTTGTAAAATCTGTCCCCACAAATGAAAAGCAGAGAGTCATGCAATCTAAGGGTTTTGTTTTTAAAACAAATCTTTCATGCCAACAGAAGCGCAGCCAACTCAAGCCACATCCATCCTTCCCAGTGCTACTCTGACCCACGTGGTGGGGGCACACACAGGAAGCGGGATTGTCAACATGGCCAGGAAAATTCTGCAGACTCAACTGAAACAGAAGTGCAAAACAAAAAGCAACTGTGCAAAATTAAGATTTGCATGAACAGATACAGCTTATAAATGAGTGCACAGCAGGGCACACGTGAGTGTGGTACGCGTCTCTGTTGTGTGAGAACGCACCACGGAGAGGCAAGGCAGGTCTCAGGCCACGCATGCACTGTGGTGCTCCCGGACTCACCCCCAGGGAGTCACCAGGCTCGGCCCACAACTACAACTTGCATACAAGGGACGTGCTAACTCCACGTGATCAGGAAGGACTCGAAGGACAAAAGTTCACAACCAGAATTGTTCCAGAACCTTAAATGAACTTACAGGTGGTTACTGTGAACACTATACCTAGAGGTCAGAGGGCCAGGCCTGGGGGACCTGCAGGCCCTGGTTTGTAGGCGTACTACTTCCCTAAATGGAATCCAGGGTCACCAGGAACCAGAGCCGAGCACTGAGGCGAGCACAGCACACTGCCATCTGCCTCAGCCACAGAATGAGCCAGAGAAAACGGGACCTACTTGACATCTTCCAGCTTCTTGGTGATGACCGATCCCACCGATGCAAAAGCAGCCGATGCCTTCTGTCCGGCTTGAGACAAGGTTTCAGATGTCTTTTTGTATCTGTTGGAATTTGAACAGAACAGATCAAAGAAAAGGAAGCTAACCTTCATTTCTAGATCATCTCAAATCCTTCCCAGCCACCGGGTTGGCCTCATCACGGCATCCAAATCCTAACCATCACTGCGGACACAGCCTTCTGCGCTGCCCGGACAGCCCGAGGAAGAGGCCTGGGAAGGGCCTTCGGTTAGGGCGAGGCTAAAGGAATTCCCGGAGCAACAGTGACAGTGAGCCGGAGGCTGGAAGAAAGGACTCCTCTAACCCTCGCCTTTGCCAGGTGAGCCAAACAGAACAAAGATGAAGTCCAATTCCTCACACCCTTTTACAAGCTCCTTCCCAAAAAGGGGCCAGAGCAAGGCTGGCCCACGTGCACGTCATCACCCAGATGAGCCAAATGAGCAGGAAGAATATCAGAACGCTGCCCTGCAGAGCCACAGGATAAGGGCTGGTGGACGCTGCACAGGGACCCTCCAGGTCTGATATTCAGAAAAACTGTGACACCTGGCTGTGCTGTTGGCTGGGACACGAAGGTCTGACTCACCGCCTCCCTCTCTCATCTCCCCGGAGACTAGCAAAGGGGAAACATCGACAAAACTAAAGGATGCGAGATTCACAGCAAAGGGGTCCAGAACCCACATTTTAGGAAAGAACAACCCTTTCGCAGTCAATATGATACGCAGTCAGTGTCAGTTTCCTGCGTGTCTACCCACTGCCGCCAAGTCTGGGTGGAAAGGGGGCCCTGGGGTGGGCACCCTGGTGGTCATGTCAGGTCAGCGGGCCTCGCTGCAGCGGGTCCCCAGCTAAGCAGATGGGACTGAATGCAGGCGGCAGAGAGCACAGCTCGGAATCTGTTGCTAGACTTGTGCTCCTTGTGTGGGAAACAAAGAGCATCACGTGATCGAAATGACTGAAAGATGAAGGGGTGGGCTCTGTCGCCAGCGCGTGTCAGAGGTGGTGACTGGAGTCTCCTGGGAATAGAGAGGAGGGCAGAAGGATCCTGCCCCGCTTGCTGACTCAGACTGCCCTGGGCCCACCTCCTGGTCTCGGGTTCTCTCACCGCCCACTCCATCCTATTACTCTGTGCACGTCTGGCAAGTCCACACAGAGCACTTTAGGAACTTAAATGGTATTTCCTCAGCTCATGTTGAGGCTGGTTTTCTTTCTAGTCCCTTCAACAGTCTGGAAGGCCAAAACCACAGGAGAGTGAGTACGCTTGCGAGTTAGGGGAAAGTGCCCGGCTTAGTACAAAGAAAACTGCAGCCTCGTCCTCACTGCCTTCCAGCCCTCCCCAGACAACAGGAGGAAGGCGCCCTTTAACTCTCTAGACCAGCGGGTGGTCCGGGACCTACGCAGGCGTCGCCGTCACGTCCTGCCACCCTTTGGCGATGTTCTGCCGGAACTCCTGCAGGGAGCTGATGCCCAGCTTCCGCTTGATCTCCGCCAGGTGCTTCTCCTTCGCGGCCAGCACCTGAGACAGAGTCTGGATCTCCTCTTCCACCTGCAGCAAGAGGTTGGGGTGAGAACACAGCAAGGTCATTTGGTGAGTTAAGGTTGTTGGTGCAAAACTATGCTCAACATTCTCAAGTCACTCTGAAACATTGTTTGATCCACTGTATCTGTCTCTTCCTAGATAACAGAGGATATGCTGTTAATAAGCTGGTGATGTGCTCATCTCTCTCGTGAGGCTTCTCTTTCCTCTCCGAATATTTCCACATGGTGGGGTCCTCCGCTGTCCCACCCTCTCCCCTGTCCCTGCACGTCCTTACTCACCTGTTTCACAGGCTCGGGACTCAAACCTCTACCAGGTAATATTCCCGTCTGACCTCCGGCCCACATGTCTTGCTGGACATTTCTACTTGAATGCCCATAAAACCTGGTATTTGCATACTAACTCAAGCTAATCTCCAGATCCCACCAAAACAGGCACAAAATCCAATCTCTGCATACACCATCCGCGTTTGTATCGAAAACATCAGCCCTAGTGCCTGCCAAAGCCACAGTCATAAAGAAATCTGTCTCCCCGAGCAGCTGGGCCCCATGGAAGTCAATGTGGGCCTGGTGCTGACTGACCCACCTTAGGGAGGTGGTGGGAAGTGGGCCCGGCTCCAAGGACAGCCACCGCCCCTCACTCTCTGTCCCTATTACCCCCCCTTTCCTCCCTCACCCCCCGCCCCGGTGGGGCCAACAACCAGTGAGGTGCCTGATATGAGGAGGTGCTTGACTCCAAAAAAAAGAAAATCTGATCAGGCCCACAACATGTAAAGAAATTATATCAGTAATCAAAAATCTTCCCAAAAAGACCATTATTGATATCATCTCTTTACATGTTGTGGGTCTGTTCAGATTTTTTATTTTTTGGAGGGTCAGTTATGATCATTTATGTGTTTTTAGGAGCTTGTCCATCTTATCTAGGTTCAGATGGACAACACAAGACTTATGGGGCGCAGTGAAAGGAGTGCACCAAGGGAACCTGACAGCTCTAAGGGCCTACATTTAGGAAACAGCGAGATCTCAAATCAATGTGACAGCATACCTTAAGGAACTAAAAAAGAAAAGAAAACTCCACCCAGAGCTAAGAGAAAGAAGGGAGTAATAAAGATATGAGTGAAGGCAAATGAAACAGAGAACAGACAACAGAGAAGATCAAGGAACCCATTGACAAGTCTTTAGCTGGAATGACAACAAATAAAAGTGAAGTCACAAATACCTAAAATCAGAAATGAAAGTGGCAACATCATTACTGACCTTGCAGGTTAAGAGAGAATAGTACTACAAGCAACTGGACACCAACAAACCATAAGTGGGAATTAACTCAAAATAGATCAAAGGCTTAACTATACACCCTGAAAGTCTCAGAAGAGAACACAGGGATAGGTGTTCATGATCTGAATTCTGGAAATAAGTTCTTAGATATAACACCAGAAGCACAAGCAATTAAAGAGGAAATAAGCTGGACTTCATCACAATGTGGAACTTTTGTGCAATAAGACATGATAAAGAAAAAGGCAACACACAGAAGGGGAGAAACATCTGAAAATCACACACTTACTTATAAATCTCATAGAGAGCTCTTATCTCAACAACAAAAAGACCAAAAGAAGTTTTTGAAAAACTGGGCAAAGGATTAGAATATACATTTCTTTAAAGAATATATGCAAATGGATAATAAGCACAAGAAAAGATGCTCAATAGCATTGGTCACTAGTAAACAGCATCAAAATCACAACGAGGTATCACTTAATACTCTCTAGGACGGTTATAATAAAAAAGACAGAAAATGGCAAACGCTGGCCGCAAGGATGTATGATGGGCATGAGAAATGGTGTCCCTGCTGCGGATAACAGTCTGATGGCTACCCAAAGAGTCCTGTGGAATAACCATATGGCACAGCATCTCCAAGCTTATAGCTAACGGCATTGGGATTAGGCACGCAGACAATCCTTTTACACAGTGCTCCTCAGTATCTATGAGTCAAAAGGTGGAAACACCCAACGTTCAGGGTGGATGGATGGGTAAGCAAAACACAGTAGATTCGGACTATCATCCCGTCATGAAAAGCAGTGAAGACCAACATGCGTCAGGAGAAGGACCCCACCAACAAGCTGAATGAAAGAAACCAGGGACAAGGTCACATGTCGAAAAATTCTATTTCTGTGAAATATCCAGAACAGGTTGATCCATAGAATCAGATTAGCAGGGGCTGAGGGGCACTGGGGGTGCCGCTTAATGACTGTGGGCTCCTCTGGGGGTGTTGGAAAAGCTTAAAACTAGACAGAAGGGGCAGTTGCACAACATTATGGCTGTGCTAACACCACTGAGCTGGACATATAAATGGTTAATTTTGAGAGAGAGAAAGAGAGCAGTCAAACCACAGCCCAGGGTAGAACAAAGTCAGGGATGCAGACAGAAAGCCAAGGGTATTAACCGTAGGAAGACCCGTCTCATCCATTTCCTCATCACCCTCCTTCCCAGACCCACTTTACCCAAATACACCTTCACTCGTGCAAAAACTAAGTGATTCTCTGTCCTGCCTGCTCTTCCGGCTCTGGTACAAGTGAGCACCCGCAGCGTTCTCTCCCTGGGAGCTGACTGCAAGATGCCACCAAGCGGGCTTTATTCTGAGCGCAGAGAGCAAGCTCCGGAGGGCACACTCCCGTACCTTGGCGAGTTCGCTCCTCAGCTCTTCTTGCTCCTCCTCGGACAGGGTCTCCGTGACACTGATCGTGGCAACAGCATCCTCCCCAGCCTCGGGCACTGGGTCTGTTCTCAGCAGACCTTGTCAGGGTTACAAAGAAAGGCTGTAAGACATGCAGGCTAAGCACAGTCTTCCTTTACGCCCGACCCCCAACCCGCCAGCATCAAGCCCATGAGGGTGGACCCACCATCAAACCCATGGGGGCGGAATCAACCTAGTTTGCCCAGAAAGGGCCACAGGAGACTGGGCGCTACCACTGAAAACCACCAGCTTCGGCTCTGCCAGTGTTGGAATGTAGAAAACACAGCATTTGCTCAGTTTCTGCTCATGTCCTCAGTCACGATAAGCAGAGGAGGGACATGGCCAGGAATGAAATCTTGGCGAGGCTTGCATTCTATAGTGACTGGCACCACTAGTAATTCTCAGGGAGCGGGGGTGGGGTGGGTGCTCCAGAGGCTCTAGCTTCCTCTGGCTGTGAACCCACACCACCCCGCAGCGAGGGGAACCGCTGAGCACACGGCCCGTTTCCTTCCACTAGGGAGTGGGTGTAGGAAACACCTCATGGGGTACGTGCGTGCGTGTGTGTGTGTGTGTGTGTGTGTGTGTGTATTAGCCAGGTCCCTTAGCAATACCTAACATGTGTCTGTGTGTGTGTGTGTGTGTGTGTGTGTGTGTGTATTAGCCAGGTCCCTTAGCAATACCTAACATGTGTGTGTTTGTGTGTGTGTGTGTGTGTGTATTAGCCAGGTCCCTTAGCAATACCTAACGTGTGTGTGTGTGTGTGTGTGTGTGTGTGTGTATTAGCCAGGTCCCTTAGCAATACCTAACATGTGTGTCTGTGTGTGTGTCTGTGTGTGTATTAGCCAGGTCCCTTAGCAATACCTAACGTGTGTGTGTGTGTGTGTGTGTGTGTGTGTGTGTATTAGCCAGGTCCCCTCAGCAATCCCTAGCATGCATATTTGGAGAAAAGACCAGCACCATGTGAATCTCCACATTCTTCAGGCCCAGTCGCAGCAGCGCCTGCTGCCCTGGGGAGAAGCGGGAGGAGCCCAGTCCCGGCACCCGGCACCAGACCAGGAGGCTGCCTCCGGCCTCACTCCACCCGCCACCAGGGCGCCCACACCGTCCTGTCCTTGCCTCCACCACCCAGGGCGCCCACACCTTCCTGTCCACCACCACCCACCAGGGCGCCCACACCTTCCTGTCCACCACCACCCACCAGGGCGCCCACACCGTCCTGTCCACCACCACCCACCAGGGCGCCCACACCTTCCTGTCCACCACCACCCACCAGGGCGCCCACACCTTCCTGTCCACCACCACCCACCAGGGTGCCCACACCTTCCTGTCCACCACCACCCACCAGGGCGCCCACACCGTCCTGTCCTTGCCTCCACCACCCAGGGAGCCCACACCTTCGGTGCCAAGTGTAAGGGGACACCAACAAACTCAGTGTGAGTAACTTTAACTCTTTAATGTAATCATTTCTAAGGTCAAAGGTAACTCAAAGAGTCCACGATGAAGCGAATACCCAAATTTCGCACAGGCTCCAGAACAAGCTTTGCACAGCGCTGCTCCGGCTCTTGTCTTTGTTTGAAATGTTAGTATGTGGCTCATCATGGTTTCTTTACATTAAGGTTTTTAAAGCACCACGTTTTCATACTATTTATCTAGCTCACCGAGCTCCTCATGCCCCTTAATCCTACTGCTGAGTCACAGTCCGCCTGTCCGTCCCCCGTCACTGTTACCCCCGTCACTGTTACCCCCCCGTCACAGTGACCCCCCCATCACAGTCCCCCCTGTCATAGTCCCCCCCAATCACAGTGACCCCCCCCGTCACAGTGACCCCCCCCCGTCACTGTTACCCCATCACAGTGACCCCCCGTCATTTATGCCCCCATCACAGTCCCCCCCCGTCACAGTGACCCCCCATCACAGTGATCCCCCCATCACAGTGACCCCCCGTCACAGGTTCGTGTGCTCAGGCTCCCAGGCAGCAGGTGCTGTTCCGTGAGGGACTTGAGCATCAGACCCATGGCAGTTCCCCTCCTTCCACATCGTCCCTGGGAAAAGCCAGCTCCCCGGAGCGGCCGTGTGGCCCGCCCAGAGCAGGGGCCACGGAGATGACAGGCCAGCCGCCAGGCGGACAGCGAGAAGGAAGAACACCAGGTCCACAGGCGGAGCGAGCGGCCGGGCCACGGGAAGGCGAGTCAATGACACACATGGTGTACACCGGCACAAGGACACTTGCCCCTGAGCCTACTGTATGCTACCTGCACAGCGGTAGCTGTTAATTATAATGACTCAATCGCTAGCATAACAAGGTCGAACGGTGCTGTGGAAGGCGCTCACAGAACCACTAACGGATCACAGCAATGCACATGGAACCACTGAGCCACAGACTGGAGGGCCCACAGACCGGGAGCCCCCTCCTGCAGACACCACCAGGAGGGAGGGGCAGTCAGGGGCGAGGCTCCCACCGGTTCCCCTGAGGCAGCCGTGGACGGGTGCCTGGGTGATATATATATATATATATATATATATATATATATATATGTGTGTGTGTGTGTGTGTGTGTATATGTATATGTATATATGTGTATATGTATGTATATGTATGTATGTATGTATATATATGATATATGACAGATATCTGATCCTGTCACTCCCAGGACAAACCCTTCCGTCAGGACAAATCCCCGTGCAGGTCAGCGCCAAGCCTTCTGGGCCCGCCCCTGCTCTCCGCCAGTGACACAGCGGCCTCCAACCGCAGGCAGGTCACGCTGCGGGCAAGGCGCCGCGAGAATCTATCCAGATCCCCCTGTGCTTTCAGGTGCATCCGGCACAGCTCACCATACAGTCTGACTCACCCTCACACTGTGGTGACGGAGCGTGTGAGGCTGAAAACGGAAGACAAGCATACAGGCAGCAATCACACAGGCACCACAGAAGGAACCAGACAAGAGTTCCTGATAAATGTTATTTATTTATTTTTAAGATTTTTTTAAATTGATTTTTAGAGAGAGAGGAAGAGGGAGAAAGAGAAAACATTGATGTGAGAGCTGAACACTGATTGGCTGCCTCCTGCACGCCTCCTGCACGCTCCCTTCCGGGGATCAAGCCCCAAACCATAGTCCTGACCAGGAATCAAACCAGCAACCTTTTGGCACCGGGGACGACACCCGACCAACTGAGCCTCACCAGCCAGGGCAACGTTATTTATCTTTAATGTTTTCATCAGATCTTTCAACATCTCCAACTAGAACAAGACACGCACCCTCCATCCCGCACCAAGACCCCAAAACTCAGATGCTAAACCATGGCTTAAATAGCAAAGACTCATACTCTTTCATCAACAGCCTTTTGCAAATCTACTTAAGCCGGAAACTTCAGTATCTGGTTACTAACAGCGCTTTTTATGCATAGCTGCCCAATTCCAGAAAGAATCTAAAGGGATCAGATTATCATTCCTGTATTTAGTTAGAGTGCCAGGGGAAAAGAATATCTCACAAAATGGGGTCATGGGGTTGCCCCCAGTTGGCCTTGCGGCCTCCAGGACGACCTTGAGATTTTATATTCAGAATCGAAGAAAGTTAGCACATTACATGTCCTGCTTTCCCCACATTAGCCTGCAGGTGGCAGCACATTATCAGCATTATTCTTTAAAGGCGAGGTTTCCACGGGAGCGAAATCACAGAAGGAGAGGACACGAAGGCGGTCACCAGCACCGCAGACAGGCGTGGCCTGGGAGCACTATTCACCGCCACAGCCACACGGAGCGCAGGCTGCCCTCGCCCTGGAGCGGAGCAGTCCGAGGGGCGGGTTCCTCCGTTCTCAGGCAGCTGTCTGCGAGGCACCTGAAGCTCACGAAGTCAACCTGCCCGTGGTCACATCGGAAAGCCCAGGGCAGTTAGGGCGTGGGGGCTCGAAGGTTTGATTCGAAAGCACATGCTTCAAATCACTGATTTCCAAAATACAAAAGAAGAGCCAGGGCCAAGAGGTCAGACTTGGGAAGCTTCTAGAAGCAACAATAAATAAGACCCTGCACGCAGTACAAGAACCTGGCACGTGAGATCAAAGCAACTGCTCCCCCAGGTCCAACAGGCCGTTTCCCACGCGTGCGGGCCCAGCGGGCCTCAGAGAGCAGACCTCTGGTGTCCGCAGGCCGGAAGGCTGCTGGCTTGGGGATCTTCTAGCTAATACTGCCCCCTCCCCCATGCCTGGGGGAGAGCAGTATGTACTGGAGAGGTGAAATCTGCCTTTGGGGAAAAAAATACTAATTTCTCACTCGCAACATGAAAGTTGGGGAATAGAAACGTTTTACTGTATATACCCATTACTCAAAACTAGAAGTAACTGAAAAAATTCTTACTTGATAATTAACTTTAATATCCCCCCCCCCCCCAATCTAACGGAAGCTGTTTTTAAAACTCGGAGGATGAAATGTGACAGTTATTTACTGAGGTTAACACGTCACCAGGGAGATTTCCATGTCATCTCATAAAAAAGCAATGAAAACAGAAGCCCTGCCCACCAGCACCCGAGGGGTGTTTGTTTCCGTCAGGAAGGGAGGCCCTCCGAGATCAGTGAGTTGCGCACAGAGGTGACATTCAGACGCAGGTCTCCCTGACTAACCTCTTCCTCTTATTCTTAGAGGGGGGTCACAGGCCAAGTCCAGAAGGAGGGTGGACGCAGAGGGCCCGGCTTGCCCCACGGGGTGGGGGGACGCACGGGGATCCCTGGCTTGAAAGCCACAGGTGCCACGATGAAGCCCACGTAGCTGAATATTGGCAGTAATTTGTTCCCCCAGGTTATTAACATTAACGTTAGCCACTTCCTCAATTCTTCTTCTAGTTGTGCAGACAGACGGTCTGGTCTGTCTGTCTTCAATTTCACCCATGAGGTCCCCTTGGAGAGTTTGGGGCGGGGGAGCCTGGAGCCCACAGACAGGCCGCAGGGGCCAGGTGAGCCCACCACCAGGGGCGATGGATAAGGTGGGCAGAGACCAGAGTGTCGTCCCCATCAGACCTAAGGCACAGGTCTGCCTTCCACAGCTGTGAACTTGAGATGCATGTGCACCC